ATCGACTTTTTGGATTTTTCGACTTTTCGAGCTTTCGATTTTTTTATTTTCCGGTTTTTCAATTTTTCGATTGCTAAAATTTGTGATTTTTCCATTTTTCAGTTATTAAAGTTTTAAATTTTTCGGTTTTTCGATTTTTCAGTTTCTCAAGTGTCCAATTTTTCAATATTTCAGTTTTTAATTTTTCAATTATGGGCAGTTTCGATTTCTAAATTTTTCGATTTTTTGACTTTTCGGCTTTTTGAATTCTCGATTTCTTGAGTTTTAGTGTGTCGTTTCTCGATGTTTTAGTTTTCCAATTTTTCAATTTTTGGATTTCCCAATTTTTTGTCATTTTTCATTTTCCCGATTTTTCAGTTTTTGGATAAAATTTTTCGATTTTTCAATTTTTTGATTCTTCAATTTTTCAATTTTGGGATATTTCAATTCGTCGATTCTCCAATGTTTTGATTTTAAATTTTTTTTATTTATGATTTTTTGACGTTTCTAAATTTTCGATCTTTTGGGTTTTTCGACTTTTCGAGTTCTCGATTTTTTTATTTTTCTAGTTTTCGATTGTTAAAAGTTGTGATTTTTCCAATTTTCAGTTTTTAAGCTTAAATTTTTCAGTTTTTCGATTTTTCAGTTTTTCAACTGTCCAATTTTTCGATTTTTTCAATGTTTCAGTTTTTAATTTTTCAATTTTGAGCTATTTCGATTTCTAAATTATTATTAATCGATTTTTTGGGTTTTTCGACTTTTCGAGTTCTCGATTTTTTGATTTTCGATTGTTAAAATTTGTGATTTTTCTATTTTTTAGTCATGAAGCTTTAAAATTTTTCAGTTTTTCAATGTCCAATTTTTAGATTTTTCAATATTTCAGTTCTTAATTTTTCAATTTTGGGGTATTTCGGTTTCTAAATTTTTCGATTTTTTTTTATTCTTCGGCTTTTTGAATTCTCGCTTTCTGAATCTTTTGATGTGTCGTTTCTCGATGTTCTAAATTTTTCAGTTTCCCAATTTTTCGTCATTTCTATTTTGGAATTTTTCAATTTCGCGATTTCGCAATTTTCCGATTTTTCAACTTTCAGATTTTTAAATTACATATTTCCATGTTTAATTTTTAGATTTTTCAATCTTTCGATTTTCTGATATTTCGAATTTTCGATCTATCAATTTTTCGATTACTCAATTTTGTTCATTTTTCGATTTATCAGTTTTCCGTTGTGCAGTTTTAGAATATTTAAATTTTTCTATTTTAAAGTTTTTTGATTTTGCAATTTTTGACGTTGCTAAATTTTCGATTTTTCGTTTTCTCAGTTTCTGGATTAATTGATTTTTTTTCAGACTTTTCGAGTTCTCGATTTTTTGATTTTTGAAGTTTTCAGTTCTTCAATCTTCCGGTTTTTAAATTGTGCGATTGTTAAAATTTGTGATTTTTCCATTTTTCAGTTATTAAACTTTCAAATTTTTCGGTTTTTTAATATTTCAGTTTTCGAATTTTTCAATTTTTTGATTTCCCAATTTTTCGTCGTTTTCCAATTTCGCGATTTTTCAGTTTTTGGTTTCAATTTCCCGATTTTTCAGTTTTTAAATTTTTTAAATTCATATTTCGATTTTTAATTTTTAGATTTTGGGATTTTTCGGTTTTTTATTTTTGAATTTTTCAATTTCGGGATATTTCAATTTGTTGATTCTCCAATTTTTCGATTTTAAAAGTTTTTGATTTTTCAGTTTTTGACGTTTTTGAATTTCCTATTTCTCGGTGTCTCAATTTCTGGAATAATCGATTTTTTGGGTTTTTCGACATTTCGAGCTCTCGATTTTTTTATTTTCCGGTTTTTCAATTCTCCGATTGTTAAAATTTGTGATTTTTCCATTTTCAATTATTAAACTTTTAAATATTTCAGCTTTTCGATTTTTCAGTTTGTAATTTTTCAATTATGGGCAATTTTGTTTTCTAAATTTTTCGATTTTTTGATTTCTCGGCTTTTTGAATTCTCGATTTCTTGATCTTTGATGTGTCGTTTCTCGATGTTTTAGTTTTTCAATTTTTCAATTTTTGGATTTCCCAATTTTTCGTCTGTTCAGAAATTTTTCAGTTTTTGGATTAAATTTTCCGATTTTTCAATTTTTAGAATTTTTTAAATCATATTTCGATTTTTAATTTTTAGATTTTAGATTTTGGGATTTTTTAGTTTTTTATTCTTCAATTATTCAAATTCGGAATATTTTAATTTGTCGATTCTCCAATTTTTGACGTTTCTAAATTTTCGATTTTTTAATTTCGCGGTTTCGCAATATCTGGATTAATCGATTTTTTCGGTTTTTCTACTTTTCGAGTTCTCGATTTTTTGATTTTTCAAGTTTTCAGTTCTTCAATTTTTCAGTTTTTAAATTTTTCGATTGTTAAAATTTGTGATTTTTCTATTTTTCATTTTTTTAACTGTCCAATTTTCCGATTTTTCAACCATTCAATTTTAATTTTTCAAATTTGGGCTATTTCGATTTATAAATTTTTCGATTTTTTGATTTCTCGGCTTTTCGAATTCTCGATTTCTCAATCTGTGTTGTTTCTTGATGTTTTAGTTTTTTTTATCAGTTTTCGATGTCCCAGTTTTTCGCCATTTCTATTTCGGAATTTTTCAATTTAGCGGTTTCTCAGTTTTTTGATTTTTCAGTTTTTTTATTCTTCAATTTTTCAATTTCGGGATATTTCAATTTGTCGATTCTCCAAATTTTAGATTTTTCGCTTCGCCCCTCGTTCTGACAACAAATGAAAAATTCATCACGACTGAGATCGAGAAGGATGGGTGATGCTTCTCTTTTGGTTTTGTTTTTTAATTATCACATTTAGGGTTGGTTTATATTGTTGTTAATTTCTCCTAAAGAAATAAGGATTTTGCAGCTAAGCTCCGCCTTCCTGGCTTACGACGAATAAAAGAAAATCATCACAATTGAGATAGGGCGGATGGGCGGGGCTACATTTTGCGTTCTTTTCTTAATATGTGTAGGCTTATTTCGACAACAAGAAACTTAAAATATGTCTATATGCGGACTTATCAGGACTTACAACCACGATAGAACTCCCAGAGCTTCCTCTGTGCCGGCAGCATAACCAACCGATTTTAAACCGCCCATATTTTCGGCACTGATGAATGAAGTGTGTTTTAAATCTTTCACTTCGACCACGACGGATACCAAACCCTGCCGAACAAACACAACCCGCTCTCTAATAAATAACAAAGCTCGTCAGTTTCGCGCCGACCTGCAGACATCAAAAATTCAGGACCGCCTTCGCCAATTTGTAGATTTTACTGGCGTGACAATCGAAACCGCCATAAAACGGCCCACTTGAAACCTTTCCACTTATTTCTATTCAGAGTCCGGGCCGGTGAAGGGGCCTGCCTGCTCCGAAGCCGAGGATTGTTATGGAAAATAGGTGGATCCTTTTACGACGGTTGCGGTGCAAACGTCATAAAAATCCCGAGTTGGTCAATTACCTCTTCGTTATTTATTGAAATACTGTGCCCGGCTGGAGAGTAGTAGGTTGTAATTTACAAGTATTTTTGGGCAGGAAGTGGCGTTTAAAAAGGGCGCGAGGCAAGTGCATCTGGCTTCCGGTCTGTGTGGGGCGGAATTGGGTCGAATGTGTTTTTTAAGTTTCCGAGTCGATTTTTACTGGGAGGGCTGGTGAAAAAACTCTCAAATGCCACTGAAATACGAAAAAATAAAGCAACGAAGAAAAACATGTCAAAAAAAAAAGACAACTAAAAACGACACAAAAACAAAAAACTTCTCAAAAGCCATTAAAATGCAACAGAAAAAGACACCAAATCAGGAAAAGAGGTGATAAAAAAGACAAAAAAAGAGAAAAGGGCCAAAAAAGCAACAACAAAAGGCCGACAAAAAGGAGGTGAAAAGAAAACGAAGGGAAAAAACGACACACAAGGGGACCAAAAAGTGTCACAAAAAACCCAAAAACATCGACTTTACAATTTTGACGATTCTATGATTTTTCGATTTTTCAATTTTTGGGTTTTCCAATTTTTCGATTCATGATTTTTTTCGATTTTGAGTTCCCCAATGTTTCAATTTTTCGTTTCTTCGGTTCTTCGATTTGCAATTTTTCTTTTTTTAATTTTTAGAATAAAAAACTGGAAACATTGCAAGATTGAAAAATCAAAAATGGAAAAACAAAAAGCATAAAATGCAAACGATTAAAAATTAAGAAACCTAAAAATCGAAAAAACGAAATATGTATTGTAAAATCTGAATAAGTATTGAAAATTAAAGAAAACGGAGATATTGTACTCCCAGTTTAAAGTGGTTTTTATGACAAGACAGTAAACATTATCACCTCATTATTACCCCACGACGGACAATGAGTTGAATAATAAAGTACGGCCCTTGCAAGGAACTGACCACTTTCTTATTTATGGTTAGGGATTTACTCCATTGTCCCATCATCAACTTCGACACAATGAACCTATCATAAAAACCTCTTTAAACTGGGAGTGCAATACTAGGAAATCCAAAAATTGCAAAATTGAAAAATTCGTTCAATTTTTTTTTTGGTAAAAATGATAAAATTTTATTTTGCGAACATTTATTTATAATAACCTCTATGCATACAAACAAATACAAACAATACCAGTAACAGTGTAAGAAACTAAATGGGTTTTGGCACCCTATATTCTGGACATTTGGAAAATCGGACAATATAAAAATTTTGAGATCGAAAAAATTCGATAATGAAATATCAAACAAAGGAAAAATGAAAAACCAAAAATTGAAAACTGATTCATTAAAAATTAGCTAATTGAGAAATTAAAAAAATAAAAAAAATACAAAATTGAATAAATATAAAAATTAAAAATTTAATCATTTAATTTTTAAATTGAAATGAAAAATCGAAAAATTGCGAAACTATAAAATTAAAAAATCAGAAACATGAAATTCGAAAAACTGTAAAATCAAAAATTGAATACTTGAAAAAAGGGGCGACAAAAACAAGACGCATGGAAAAAGGTGGAAAAATGGTGAGACAGAAGATCGATAAAAGGCGCCAAAAATCGGCAAAAAAACAACTAAAAAATAGAAAGTACAAAAAAACGATCAAAACCGACAAAAAAAGGAACCAAAGAAGAGGAAATAAAAAGGCAACCAAGAACTAAGCGAAGAAAAATGCAGAAAATATATGGTTAAAAATAGGACAAAGAAAACGTGAGAAAGACAAGGGAAAATGTGTAGAAAAAAACGCGATAAAAAGAAAAGTGAAAAAACTCTCAAATACCACTGAAATACCAAAAAATATGGCAATGATAAAAAAATAGAATAAAAAAGCGGCCAAAAACACGAATAAAAAAACAGGGAAAGGGGCAATAAAAAAAGAAGGAAAGGGTCAAAAAGGCAACGAAAAAGGAGGTCAAAAGAAAACGAAAAAAAAAACGACACACAAAGGGACCAAAAAGTGCCACAAAAAACTTCAAAAACAAGACAAGAAAAGACGCCTATAAAAGGCACCAAAAAACACGCTAAAAATCAGAAAAAAAAAAACAAAAATAGAAAGTACAAAAAACTATTAAAAACGACAAAAAAATGCACCAAAGAACAGGAAATATATAGTCAAAAAGAGGGCAAAAAACATGATAACACGATAAAAAAAAACATGGAAAAAGGTAAAAAAAGCGGACAAAAATGAGACAGAAAGGCCATAAACGGTACAAAAAAAACACACCAATAATTGAAAAAAAAAACAAATAAAAAATAGAAAGTACAAAAAATTACAAAAAAAAAACGACAAAGAAGGACAAATAAAAAGGCAACCAAGAACTAAGTGAAGAAAAATGCAGAAAATATATGGTTAAAAAGAGGACAAAAAAAAAAACGTGAGAACGGCAAGGGAAAATGTGCAGAAAAGAACGCGATAAAAAAAAGAATTACAAAACTCTCAAACGCCACTGAAACACGAAAAAATAAGGCAACGATAAAAAAAATAAGAATAAAAAGTGGCAAAAAAGATGAATAAAAAACAGGGAAAGGGGCAATAAAAAAGAAAAAAAGAAGAAGAAGAAGAAAGGGGGCAAAAAAGGAGGTCAAAAGAAAATGAAAAAACAAACGACACACAAAGGGACCAAAAACCAAAAAGTGCCATAAAAAAACTCCAAAAACAAGACAAGAAAAGACGACAGAAAGTGAAAGAAGGCGACAGACAAGCCAATAAAAAAAGATGAAAAAAGGTGTGAAGATTGTGTTAAAAAAGCGGGCAAAAAATGAGACAGAAAGGATACCAAAAAACACCAATAAAATTGTAAAAAAACAACTAAAAAATAGAAAATACAAAAAATGAAAAAAAAACGACAAAGAAGGGGAAATAAAAAGGCAACCAAGAACCAAGTGAATAAAAATGCGGAAAATATGTGGTTAGAAAGAAGAGAAAAAAACGTGAGAAGGACAAGGGAAAATGTGCAGAAAAGAACGTCACAAAAAAATAATTTTTAAAAATTCCCAAATGCCAGTGAAATGCGAAAAAATAAGGCAACAAAAAAATGTGAAGAAAAATTGGCAAAAAAGACGAATAAAAAAGACAAGTAAAAAACGACAAAAAAGAGACACAAAACAAAAAACTTCTTAAAGGACATTAAAATACAACAGAAAAAGGCACCAAAACAGGGAAAGAGGCGGTTAAAAAGGAAAAAAAGAGAAAAGGGCCAAAAAAACAACAAAAAAGACGGTAACTCCTTTTTGAAAAGGCATGGAAAAAGGTAGAAAATTTGTGTTAAAAAGAGGACAAGAATGAGACAGAACGGCGATAAAAGGCACCAAAAAACACGCCAAAAATCGGCAAAAGAAACTTGTAAAAAATACACAATATTAAAAAAAAAACAATAATAAACGGAAAAAAAGAATCTCCAAAGAGGAAATAAAAAGGCAACCAAGAATTAAATGCGAAAAATATATGGTTAATTACAAGACAAAAAAAAAAGTCAGAAAGACAAGGGAAAATGAACAGAAAAAAAAGTGCAAAAATCTAAAAATTCCACTGAAATACGAAAAAATAAGGTAACAAAAAAAGTAAAGAAGAAAAAGTAGCAAAAGACGAGTAAAAAAAAAACAAAAAACTTGTCAAAGGCCATTAAAATGAAACAGAAAAAGGCACCAAAACAGGGAAAGAAGCGGTTAAAAAGGAAAAAAAAGAGAAAAGGGCCAAAAAAACAACAAAAAAGACGGTAACTCCTTTTTGAAAAGGCATGGAAAAAGGTAGAAAAATTATGTTAAAAAGAGGGCAAGAATGAAACAGAAAGGCGATAAAGGCACCAAAAAAAAAACGCCAAAAATCGGCAAAAGAAACTAGTAAAAAACCGAATAAAAAACGACAAAAAAAAAGCTCCAAAGAGGAAATAAAAAGGCATCCAAGAATTAAATGCGGAAAATATATGGTTAATAACAAGACAAAAAAAAACCGTCAGAAAGACAAGGGAAAATGGACAGAAAAAAAGTAAAAAAAAGTTCTAATGCCACTGAAATACGAAAAAATAAAGTAACAAAAAAAGTGAAGAAGAAAAAGTGGCAAAAGATGAATAAAAAAAAAAACAAATAAAAAACAACAAAAATAAAAAACTTGTCAAAAGCCATTAAAATGAAACAGAAAAAGGCACCAAAACAGGGAAGGAGGCGGTTAAAAAGGAAACAAAGAGAAAAGGGCTAAAAAAACAATTAAAAAGACGGTAACTCCTTTTTGAAAAGGCATGGGAAAAGGTAGAAAAATTATGTTAAAAAGAGGTCAAGAATGAGACAGAAAGGCGATAAAGGCACCAAAAAACACGCCAAAAATCGGCAAAAGAAACTAGTAAAAAAAAAAACGAATAAAAAACGACAAAAAAAGAAGCGCCAAAGAGGAAATAAAAAGGCAACCAAGAATTAAATGCGGAAAATATATGGTTAATTACAAGACAAAAAAAAAAAAAAAACGTCAGTAAGACAAGGGAAAATGGACAGAAAAAAGTAAAACAAATCTCAAATGCCACTGAAATACGAAAACATAAGGTAACAAAAAAAGTGAAGAAGAAAAAGTGGCAAAAGATGAATAAAAAAAAAACAACTAAAAAAACAAATACAAAAAACTTGTCAAAGGCCATTAAAATGAACCAGAAAAAGGCACCAAAACAGGGAAAGAGCCGGTTAAAAAGAAAAAAAAAAGAGAGAAAAGGGCCACAAAAAGCAACAAAAAGGTGGCAAAAAGGTAAGCGAAAAAAACGACATACACACAGGAACAAAAAAGTGACACAAATAACTTGAAAAACAAAGGGGGCGACAAAAACAAAACAAAAAAAGAAGCCAAAAAAGAGCAAACAAGAACAAAGAAAGGTGATAAAAAATGGACAAAATAAGGCAATTAGAGAAAAGGGCAAAAATGAACACAAAGAACGTTTAAAAAACAAACAACAACGATAAAAACACGACAATGTGGAAAACAGGCAATAAACAGCGAGAAAAATTGTTTGAAAAAGAGGTCAAAAAAATGTGATAAAAATTACACTGAAGAATTGGGAAAAAGCAACAAAAACAATTAAAAAACGACGAAAAAAGCCGCCAAAAGAAGCAATAAAAATGCAAAACATAAGCGGAGAAAAATGGGGAACGAAATATGACTAAAAAGAAAACAACAAACGTGACAAGGCCAACCAAAAAAAAGGGCAAAAGAAAATAAAGACGAAAAAGTACAAAAAAATCTCAAAAGCCACTAAAATGCAAGAGACAATTAACAAAGCGACAAGAAAAAGGCTTCAAAAAGAGGATAAAGTGAAAAAAGCATTAAAAAAATATAAGTGAACAAAAAGAAACAGAAAGCGACCAAATAAAGGAAGACCAAAAAACCATACCAACGGCGACACGAGTTTAAAGGAATCTTGAACATCTTTTTTTTTTCAGAATGTGGAATTTTTTTTTTACATTAACTTACAGATGTTATAACACAAAACTAAAAATGGCAGAATCAAATTTTATAAGTAATTTATATAGGAAGCCGGAGGGAAGCTTTGTTTAACTTTATTTTTCCCAAAGTGATTAAAAACAAGTCAGTTTTGGCAATTCGTCCATTGAAACACCACGCATCAGGAAGCTGCAATTACGGAAGCATTGTTTTCGCCGTTGTCAAAACAAAGCCCCCACGACCCCGCCGCCGCGCCGCCCCTGATTACCACCGCGCCTCTTATCTCCTCCCGTCAACTGGCACTATCAACTCCGGCGAAAAAAATTGGTCTAAAGAGTTTAGACAGTACTTCCCTCGCTGTCGGAAACTTGACGACTGCATGCCTATTGTGTTTTTTTTTCTCATTACATTTTTGTAGTGCGAATTTAAAAAAAAATTGTGATGACGTCATCAACATTTTTGCAAGGACACGTATATCAATTGGGATAGATGTAGTGTAATACTAAGAATAAAATTATTGTATTCCCAAATTTTCGGGAAAATGAATTGGGCCGTTTTGAATATTGATTTCTTATAATCAATAAAATAACGAAACAATTTACTCACGTATACGGCGCCGATGTGTAATATCTAGAGAGCGGATTTCTGTCGGGCTAGGCAAGGCCAAACTCGGTACGGCTCGTACGGGATGCGAATTCATTGCGGTTGCGGACTGCACTTCGTTTATTTGAGATTAGAATAACGCTGTTTCGTTGCACTCTGCTGTTAATTCCCGTTCTCATTTACTTAGCCGTTTGATTAATAAATCGTTAATTATATTTATGGAATTAGTACCGATTAAATTCGGTGATTATCTATCACCCGGCGATCCAGCACGTCCCCCCCTATAATCGTGACGTAGCCCGACAGAAATCCGCTGTCTAGTAATATGAGGGGCAACTGAAAATCGTTTATGTATAAACATTCTTAATTTAAGATGACAAGCGTAACAGCATACGTGAGAGTCAAACAGAGAAACTGTAAACAAAACGACCATCGGTTTTATTGCTTCGACTTCCGCTTATTATATAAAACATTGGGTTTTATTTTAATTCTTGACGGTGAAATTCACAATTGGTTGATTATAAACATGTCTATTTCACATTCGCGGAACCAAGTGAACGCATAAAACAAATGCAGGTCTGTAATGTTAAAGTCGATGTAAATAAGCGTGCTACCCTTATGTTTCAACCGAGTTTTTCCTTTAACAAATTTTGTGTCTACCAAATTGGGTTGGTTGGGGTGTAATACTAATAATAAGTGTTCCCTTTAATTTAATCAATAAAATAAATTGAATTCATTAATTTTTTTGAACCACCTCTTAAGAAAATCTAAAAAATATGTATGGAATGATAAATCACAAGTACAAACTCATCATATTTTTTGCATTTTAGATAGGATTTATTCAGCAAAATTTAAGGGTGACGTCATCAATTTTTTTAGGAGGGATGAACAAATACATTTTGAACAAAAGTTTACCATGCGTATAATAACTTTAAAATATTCCCAAGATTTCAAAGCATTCGGTTTTGTAATTCCTGATTAAATCGATAAAATAAATTCACGCCTTCATTAATTTTTTTCAGTCACCCTGCATATGCAAATCCAAAAATATGAATGGAATGATAAATCACAAGTACAGACTCATCATATTTTGTACATTTTAGATGCGATTTATTCGGCAAACTTTTGAGCTGACGTCATCAGTTTTTTGTAGAAGATAACCAAATATATTTTGACTAAAAATTTATTATGCTCTTTATAACCTTAAAACATCTGCAAGATTTCAAAGCATTCGGTTTTGTAGTTCCTGATTAAATCAATAAAATAAATTTACGCATTTATTAATTTTTTTGAGTCACCCTGTATATGCAAATCGAAAAAATTTGAATGGAATGATAAATCACAAGAACAGACTCACCATATTTTGTACATTTTAGATAGGATTTATTCAGCAAAATTCTGTGGTGACATCATAAATTTTTTAGGGGGGACGACCAAATACGTTTTGATCAAAAATTTACCATGCTTATGATAATTTTAAAATATCTTCAAGATTTCGAAGCATTCGGTTTTGTAGTTCCTGAGTAAATCAGTAAAATAAATTTACGCTTTCATTTATTTTCTTGAATCACCCTGTATATGCAAATCCAAAAAATATGAATGGAGTGATAGATCACAAGTACAGACTGATCATATTTTGTACATTTTAGATATGATTTATTCGGCAAACTTTCGAGCTGACGTCATCAATTTTTTGGAGGGGATAAGCAAATATGTTTTGACTAAACATTTATTATGCTCTTTATAACCTTAAAACATCTGCAAGATTTCAAAGCATTCGGTTTTGTAGTTTCTGAGTAAATCAGTAAAATAAATTTACGCATTCATTAATTTTTTTGAGTCACTCTGTATATGCAAATCCAAAAAATATGAATGGAGTGATAAATGACAAGTACAGACTCATCATATTTTGTACATTTTAGATATGATTTATTCCGCAAACTTTTGAGCTGACGTCATCAAGTTTTTGGAGGGGATAAGCAAATATTTTTTGACTAAAGATTTATGATGCTCTTTATAGCCTTAAAACATCTGCAACATTTCAAAGCATTCTGGTTAGCAGATTAAAAATTAAATTTCAAAATGTTGTTTTATAATTTTGATTTTTTTTCCAAAAATCTGGACGTTTCGGGAGAAAAGTCCATTCAGAGTTGTAAACTACATGTGTAGGACTATGTTATTTTATACAATTGAAAACCCATTTACTATGTACAATTTTGAAGTGACGTCATCGCATTAGTGGTGGGGATGATTAGACAAATTTTGGTTAGCGTTTTACCATCTACATGATATTCTTAATATAAGTACAAAATTTCACAACAATCGGTCGAGTACTTTCGGAGATTATCTGTCTAATAAAATCCGGGACAACAGACGGAAATGGGAGACCTATTTCTTCGTCTTCTAGGGGTCATGAAAGATCGAGAAAACGTAAAAGTAGAGAGTCGGCCGACGGACTCGATTACAATACTTCCTTTGCTTACGCTCGGGAAGTAAAAATGGTAGAATCAAATTTTAAAAGTAAACTACTTATATAAGAAGCCGAAGGAAAAGCTCTGTTTAACTTTCCACTTTTTCCCAAAGTGATTAAAAACAAGTCAGTTTTGGCAATTCGTCCATTGAAACACCACGCATCAGGAAGCTGCAATTACGCAAGCATTGTTTTCGCCGTTGTCAAAACAAAGCCCCCACGATCCCCCCGCCCCGCCGCCCCTGTTTACCACAGCGCCTCTTATCTCCTCCCGTCAACTGGCACTATCAACTCCGGCGAAAAAAATCCAAAAGCAAAAATCGCCACCCCCACCCCGCCACCCCGTCGCCCATCGCTCCCCGTGACCTCCGCCCGGTTCCGCTAAACCCGCTCCGAGATTATTAGGTCTCTCTCTTTATAATCCCGCGCACCTGCTGCCAGAAGCACGCATTCCAAACCCAGCAAGACTGTTACTTCTCACACTAACAGCGGCGAGACAGCTGGCGCCAACACAGGGCGCCCACACCCCTCCTATTCACATTTACTACACACCATTTCATGTCAACTCGATCTCCGACTTAGTACAGCTCGGACCCGCAAGCCGACCAGACCTCGTACCATGATGACGAACGGACCTCGCGCCGCCTTCCCCGTGGACTACGCCGAGGTGCACTCCCCGACCGACTCCAGCGAGGACAGCGTCGAGGTGAAGGTCTCCCCCATCGCGCTGCGGAACAAGCGGAAATGCGCCGAGCCGCGCAAGGTCCAGGACTTCCTCGGGCCGCTGAAGAAGCGCGTCTGCCTGCAGGTGCGCGCCGAGAGCGAGGGCCGCCCCTTCCGGCCGTGGAGCCCGCCGCCGCCGGGCTTCTTCCGCCCGCCGTCGCCGCCCAAGGAGCCGGTGGCGCTGGTCAAGCGCGAGGAGGCGCCGCGCGTGCCGGCGCACCCCGCGCCAGCGCTCACCCCCGCCGAGGCCGAGCGCGAGATCCTGCGGACGGTGGAGGCCTTCCCCGGCCTGGGGCGGCGCGAGCAGCGCAACTACAAGAACATGACGCGGGAGCGGCGGATCGAGGCCAACGCGCGGGAGCGCACCAGGGTGCACACCATCAGCGCGGCCTTCGACACGCTGAGGAAGTCGATCCCGTCGTACTCGCACAACCAGAAGCTGTCCAAGTTGTCGGTGCTGCGGATCGCGTGTTCGTACATCATGACGTTGTCGAGTGTGGTGAACGGTGACGAGGAGGCGACGACGGAGTGCGTGGACCTAGTGACCAAAACCATCCAGCGCGAGGGGAAGTTGCGCAAAAAGAAAGACGACAACGACTAGTTGACCTGGTGCTGTTCCTGTATAGACTTTGTACTTACTGTAAATATTTTTTTCATCTATTTATTTCAACATGACGACTTAACTTTGATGAGTGTTTCATTTGTTTTGCGGTCCCGGGACCCGGAGGGAGGATAGCCGGTGCAATGTCAGGTGTGCAGTAAATTTCGTTTCGTGTTTACTACCACTTCTTTCGGGATAATTGGGTTGAGCGATCGCACAGATGCCGGGAATCGATGCCAAATTCCTTGATAATTGATCGGAAAATGGGACGCGAGTGCTTCTGGCGCTTCTTTCGTAATTGGATGCATATCTGGACCGGCTGTTTAAATATTATTCCACTATTTAAATTAGTTTGGTTTTAATTTATGATAAAATATGTGTTGTTTGGAGGAATTTACACGTTTCCATAATTTAAATAAAGAGAGTAGTTTTTAAAAATGTTAATCGATTTGATAAGTGGCGTCGCAGATCGATGTAAACAAAGTGCAAATGTGGATTGGAAATCATTTTGTTTTTGAACGGTGACGCAAACCGAAAGATTGGCGGAAAAATAAACACCGGAAAAGTAAAAGTAAGAAAACACCAGGTTTAACGGCGTCGAAGAGAAAAGTGCGATCGCATTCAAGTGTGTAAAGGGGTGTTTACACGTCGAAAATAAAACCAAAAAATATGTTTTAATCTTTCGTTAAAAACTTCTTACGTTGTCTTGTTTATAAACATGTTCATTCAAGCCGGTTGTATATTTTACACTTCATTATGATAATGGCCGGGATTAGTCCAAGCCCACTCGCACAAAATTCTCATAATCGCGAATTTTTCTCGGAATTCTCGATTTAACTGCAATTGCAAACTTAATGGGTCAATTTTTATAATCACTCGGTATAAAACCTCAAGGTCCGGACATTCATAATTATATAACACAAACAACTAAAATCTCGTACCTACGCTGATAATAAAGTGAACGAGAATGAGAAAAAACGTCATTAAAGCACTGTGCGCAATTTAACAGCAACGAAAATAAACATGGTGTCAACAATCAGTAAAATACCTTAATTAAATTTTACAAGATGATAATAATAACAAAAAAAAAAAGTAAATAAGCCGACTGGAGTCGATTGCTTCGTGGGTAGGCAACCAGTTATACAGTGACGTAATGACAATTGCCTAAATCAATCATCACATGCGGATGTTATATGAAGAGTTTGGGTTTCCGTAGTGGAATGAGTGCAACTGACGTCACAAAATGGAGCCACAATTTTTTAATCAACCACAACAGAACTCTAAAGGCTTCAACTTTCCAGACGTAAGCTACGAAAGTGTTAAAATAAAGACCATCCGGGGAACGGCGATTTCGATATTTTCTCGACGTTTCATGAGCCCTAGAGAATGTAAACGTAGGTCCCCATTTCCGTCTGTCGTCTGTGTTGATATTTATTAGTCAGATTATCTCCGAATCTGTGAAAAATAACATATTCCTGTTGTACTTTACGAATCCCCTTTGATTTTTTAAATATATTTGCTCATCACCTCCAAAAAATTGATGACGTCATCTCAAAATTTTGTAGAATAAATTTTACCCAAAATGTGCAAAATATGAGTTTTTACTTGTGATTTATCACTGCAAGAGAAGTTCTGTCGAAACAACTTTCGACCAATTTTTTCTAGATTTACGAGCAAGCAGTAGTCCCGCCCACCCACCCCTTCTTCCTTCCAGTGACTACTCTTCATATTGTTCAGTTCAGATCCACTTTTTAATATGGCTAGATAAAATGAATCATTGAAATGAAGGCAGGGTGGGTGGGCGGGGTTAATTATATGTAATTGCAAAATCCATGTTTCCTTGCAAAAATGTACCATTTTAACCATGTTTTAAGTTTCTTGTTGTGAAAAAATGGCTATGTATGCTAAAAAAACAAAGGCAAAATGGAGCCCCGCCCACCCACCCAATCTCAATTGTGATGATTTTTTTTATTCATTGTGAGCCAAGAGGGCGGAGCTTAACTGCAAAATGGTTATTTCTCAACGAGAAATTTAAAACATGCTTTTGAGTATCGTGTTGTTCAAAGAATATTATGAAAATTAAGAAAAAAATGAACTCAAAGATTAGGCTCCACCCATATCCGCCGCGACCTCAATTCTCAATTGTGATGAATTTTTCATTCGTTGTCAGATCGACGGGCGGGGCTTGATTGCAAGATCCGTATTTATCTACAAGAATTTACCATTTTAAGCATGTTTTCAGTTTCTTGTTTTGAAAAGACGACTACATATATTAAGAAAAAAGGAAAAATATAAGCCCCGCCCACCCACCCTATCGCAATTATGACGATTTTTTTTTAATCGTCGATAGCCAAAGGGGCGGAGTTTAACTGCAAAATAGTAATGAAGTTTTCATTTGTTGGCAGACCTAGGGGAGGGGCCTAATCGCAAAATCCATATTTCCTTATTTTCTTACAACCTTTCATTCGGACTACAGAAAATGAATCACTTACAAACGAACATATAATTCTTCAGAATCAACCATTAAAATATCGAAATTTTTGAAATTTTCAAAAATTCGCATTTCGCAGCGATTTTTTCGAAAATGTTGCTTCGTGACCATCAACATGCTATATTTTTGGAATCAGCGTGTCGAGATCTACGTCCCTGAATTTTTTCATAATTTTTGGACAACTTTTTCAAAATTGAAATTTTTTAACGGTCCCCCCTTCTTCAAATTTCGCAAAAATTTTGACATTTTCGAAACTCAACTAAATACATTTTCTTGCAGATTTCGAGCTCTAGAACTCAAATCCGGCCTCGGTTTTTTCATAACTGCAACCGTTTTTCCAGAATCGACCGTTAAATTATCGAAATTTTTGAAATTTTCAAAAATTCGCATTTCGCAGCGATTTTTTCGAAAATGTTGCTTCGTGACCATCAACATGCTGTATTTTTGGAATCAGCGTGTCGAGATCTACGTCCCTGAATTTTTTCATAATTTTTAGACAACTTTTTTAAAATTGAAATTTTTTAACGGTCCCCCCTTCTTCAAATTTCGCAAAAATTTTGACATTTTCGAAACTCAACTAAATACATTTTCTTGCAGATTTCGAGCTCTAGAACTCAAATCCGGCCTCGGTTTTTTCATAACTGCAACCGTTTTTCCAGAATCGAGCGTTAAAATATCGAAATTTTTGAAATTTTTAAAAATTCGCATTTCGCAGCGATTTTTTCGAAAATGTTGCTTCGTGACCATCAACATGCTATATTTTTGGAATCAGCGTGTCGAGATCTACGTCCCTGAATTTTTTCATAATTTTTAGACAACTTTTTCAAAATTGAAATTTTTTAACGGTCCCCCCTTCTTCAAATTTCGCAAAAATTTTGACATTTTCGAAACCCAACTAAATACATTTTCTTGCAGATTTCGACCTCTAGAACTCAAATCCGGCCTCGGTTTTTTCATAACTGCAACCGTTTTTCCAGAATCGACCGTTAAAATATCGAAATTTTTGAAATTTTCAAAAATTCGCATTTCGCAGCGATTTTTTCGAAAATGTTGCTTCGTGACCATCAAAATACTATATTTTTGGAATCGGCGCGTCGAGATCTACGTCCCTGAATTTTTTCATAATTTTTAGACAACTTTTTCAAAATTGAAATTTTTCAACGGTCCCCCCTTCTTCAAATTTCGCAAAAATTTTGACATTTTCGAAACCCAACTAAATACATTTTCTTGCAGATTTTAGAGCTCTAGAACTCAAATCCGGCCTCGGTTTTTTCATAACTGCAACCGTTTTTCCAGAATCGACCGTTAAAACATCGAAATTTTTGAGATTTTTAAAAATTCGCATTTCGCAGCGATTTTTTCGAAAATGTTGCTTCCTGACCATCAACATGCTATATTTCTGGAATGAGCGTGTCGAGATCTACGTCCCTGAATTTTTTCATAATTTTTAGACAACTTTTTCAAAATTGAAATTTTTTAACGGTCCCCCCTTCTTCAAATTTCGCAAAAATTTTGACATTTTCGAAACCCAACTAAATACATTTTCTTGCAGATTTCGACCTCTAGAACTCAAATCCGGCCTCGGTTTTTTCATAACTGCAACCGTTTTTCCAGAATCGACCGTTAAAATATCGAAATTTTTGAAATTTTCAAAAATTCGCATTTCGCAGCGATTTTTTCGAAAATGTTGCTTCGTGACCATCAAAATGCTATATTTTTGGAATCGGCGCGTCGAGATCTACGTCCCTGAATTTTTTCATAATTTTTAGACAACTTTTTCAAAATTGAAATTTTTCAACGGTCCCCCCTTCTTCAAATTTCGCAAAAATTTTGACATTTTCGAAACCCAACTAAATACATTTTCTTGCAGATTTTAGAGCTCTAGAACTCAAATCCGGCGTCGGTTTTTTCATAACTGCAACCGTTTTTCCAGAATCGACCGTTAAAATATCGAAATTTTTGAAATTTTCAAAAATTCGCATTTCGCTGCGATTTTTTCGAAAATGTTGCTTCGTGACCATCAACATGCTATATTTTTGGAATCAGCGTGTCGAGATCTACGTCCCTGAATTTTTTCATAATTTTTAGACAACTTTTTCAAAATTGAAATTTTTTAACGGTCCCCCCTTCTTCAAATTTCGCAAAAATTTTGACATTTTCGAAACTCAACTAAATTCATTTTCTTGCAGATTTCGAGCTCTAGAACTCAAATCCGGCCTCGGTTTTTTCATAACTGCAACCGTTTTTCCAGAATCGACCGTTAAAACATCGAAATTTTTGAAATTTTCAAAAATTCGCATTTCGCAGGGATTTTTTCGAAAATGTTGCTTCCTGACCCTCAACATGCTATATTTTTGAAATCAGCGTGTCGAGATCTACGTCCCTGAATTTTTTCATAATTTTTAGACAACTTTTTCAAAATTGAAATTTTTTAACGGTCAAAAATCTTCAAATTTCGCAAAAATTTTGACATTTTCGAAACTCAACTAAATACATTTTCTTGCAGATTTCGAGCTCTAGAACTCAAATCCGGCCTCGGTTTTTTCATAACTGCAACCGTTTTTCCAGAATCGACCGTTAAAATATCGAAATTTTAG